ATGGCGGTGGTTTTTCTGAGCTCCTGCAGCATGTGGTGTATAAAAGCTATGTTGTCAGAGTGCTGCAACGCTGCCTGCTGTGTGGTTGGGTGGCCGGTGTGACGCTGGCTTGGAGGTGGTGTCGGGGTATGCGTCATCTAAATGCCACACTCCCAAGCCGCCCCCAAGCTGGCGTATTGTGTCAGTCTGTTTCGCCCCTTACTCTACAAATGTGGTGAATATACTCTGCCAGAGAGTTATATTTATGGGTTGCCACTGCCTATGCAGAAAAAGGGAAGGAAAAAGTGAAGCTGAGGTATTACCATTACAGCTGTAAAGACAGCAATTCCATAAATCTGTCTGAATGGAACAGCTGATTGAGATCCTTGATTATTGCTGGTGAGCTTTTTGGTTGGAAGGCATATAAAAGAGAATTGTGTAGAGTTTCTATACAAGGTGTGAATCACTAAATGTTGGCCTGAAGGCCATGTTACCATGATCTCATAAATGCCTGGCACCACCAAATAATGACCACAGATTACTAACATAACTTTAAAGCAGACATTGAAATAGTGAAGACACAATGGGGACCTCTTTGAAGAAATCAGAAGACTAGGCCTGGAAGGGCAGTTACAAAGGAACTAGACAAGATTCTGAAGTGTAAAGATATATCACTGAATACTAAAGTTAGGATGATCCATACCATTATATCACATTTCTATGTATGGTTGTGCAAGCTGGACAATGAAGATAGCTGATAGGAAGAGAATCAACTCATTTCAGATGTGTTGCTGAAGAAAATTCTGTGGATAACATAAAACTGCTAAAAAGACAAATATATGGGTCCTAAAGCAAATCAAGCCTGAACTCGCTCTAGAAGTCATGATAACTATCTTGAGACTGTCCTACTTTGGCTACATCTTGAGAAGACACAATTTCCTAGAAAAGACAATGATGCTTAGTAAGATGGAAGGCAGCAGGAAATGGATAGACCTAATCAGGGAAGCCACAGCTCAGAGTATGCAAGACCTGACCAGAGTGGTTGATGATAGGGGGACTTGGAGGTCTCTCATTCATAAGGTCACTCACTATAAGCTGAAGTTAACAAGCCAAATAATGTAAATTGGAGTAATTACTTCAGTTTTGCAAGTGACATAGCAAGGGACCTGGTATGCACAGGTATACCTGACTCTGTGAGACAGTCAATACTTGTTAATTCCAATTTTTCCATCACATGCTGTTCTCTAGTTTCAACAGCTCCATTTAAAAAAAAAGCTTAGAGTGCATACTGAATTTCTCTTATAAAAAGGAAAGTGGGATTTCTAAGGGACCCTGTTAACATTGCTTCAGTAGAAAAGGAATGCCTTCATGTCTCCCATGGAATCACTATGCAGAAAGAATTCTGGAGAAATAACTACAGGGGGCAAATACACTTCACATGGGCTCATCATAATTCAGGAGATAAGAGTTTACGCTAAAATATTCTCCTATAGTTGTAGCCATAGACTAGACATTTTTTCAGGGAAGGTTATCTGCTACTACTCATCTTCTCACTGAGGAACAAGTTGCTAGGTTTATGAGAAATTCCTTATCCTAGGGCTAATTGGAACAGCTTGAAATCAACAATATAAGTTCCAGAAAAGCATATAAAAGGCAACAAAGATCTAGTCCAATTACTTTTACAGTACTTTCTCATCTATTTCAAACACACAAACACTCTTTCCACCCCATCCCAGGGTTGTTTTAGGATTATATGATGGAACAAGTAGGTTTTGCACAATAGGAAAAGAGATTGACTATTTGGTAGGGCTGAAAGTTCTAGGAGTTCAGCTGAATCCATAAGTGTATTACTGCTGCCTGTTAAGTTTCAATTATGTACTCTTTCATTCTGTACTAAAATTCAGAAATCATGACAAGCAGGACACTGAACAGTTTCACAACAGGACTGGGAAAGCTGTGAATACAACTTTCCACATCTGAACTGCTTTTAAGTAAGGTTTTCTAGGAGCCAGTCTCCCCTTTAAATAAGGCTACAGATGCATGCTACCACTCTGATAGAAAGGCTCCTGTGCAGAAACTGTTCTGGATGCTTTGCCATATGTAACGTAATGGTCTCTATTATCCAATGACAGAGGACCAAGGTGGAGCTGGGGGAGTCAAAGGAGGATATATTGGTATCAATCTTTTTTTGGGAGGGGGAATTGCAATGTGATTACAAAATAACAAAGCAAAGCTATTTTGATAGGCTGGTATGAAACAGTATCAGACAGGTAAATCTCAAGAGATGAAAATAATACTATCTGAACATCAGTGGGACATGAAGGCATTTGCACTGAAGTAGCAAATGTGCAAAAGTTCTGCCACTTAACAGCATAAGACTTTAGAGTCAATGGTTGCATTGAACCATCTAAAATATGACCAATCTCAGCATGTAACATGATCTGATCATCCACACTGTGAACTGAAAGGAATGGAGATCCCACTGGCATACCTTATCCTGAGAATGAGTGAGCAGGTCCAGTATGGCTCAAGATGCATAGAGCTGTAGTGGTACAGCTGAAACAGTAAGCCATGGCTGTCAGGTCTATCACAGAGCCAGCAGAATGTAATCTGAGTTGGCCTTCTGTATCTTGATTGTTATTATGGTGAGCAGTAGAAACAAAGGGAACATGCAGAGCAACCAGCATGACCACTGGTGGAGAAAAGCATCTTGCATGGGAAACTGCCCAATGTTCAATTTGTTGCATTTTTTTTACATATTATTATTATTGTTGTTATTATTATTATTATTATTATTATTAAAGTTTATTTTTAGAGCACTGTCAGTGTACTCAGCGCTGTACAAAGACAATCAAGAATAAAACATATAATAAAACAAATAAAACCTGCTGGAGTCGTACAATCTAAGTTAAAACAATGAGCAGAATAATAAAAATCAATTTAAACAAAGACAATTGCAACAGTTAATAACAACATCCACCCACTGTAAACCCAAGTGAGAAAGCAAATAAATATATATCAAACAATTTTGGTTGTTCCTAGAAGCACACATCTACAGTACACTATTGCTTCAAATGTTAGTTGAGAAAAAAGTGACCCATGCACTGTCATTTGTACATGGCAGATAGAAGCAGGAAGAACATTGTTGACACCTGTCAGATGAACAGCAATAGGAAAATATGACAGTGTGAGAGTAAGGAGAACTGATGTTCTCTCATGTGAGTCTTCCTGTCTGTTGATACAGAAAACACCAGTAATATTGTCTGATAACTCCAAAACATGGATATGGTACCTCTTCTCAACAATTTGTCTGATCCTGAAAACTGAATAATACAAGAGTAAACTTTTAGATATTTGCATGGCACCACAGACTTTGGAGTAGATTGAAACTACAATCCAGGTTCCTGCACTGTTTGTACAGGCACCCCTCCCAATTCGTGGGGGATCCGTTCCACCCCCACCCCACCCGTGAATCCGGAAAAATGCAAATATTCAAGTTGCCATTGGTTACAATGGCCACACACTCTGTGTGTGGTGTTGCGTGTGCCTCAGGTACGTGCACCATTTTATCCTTTCCTTCTCGCTGTCTGTGAAGGACCAAGACCACAGACTTCAAGTCTGTGAATGGGGAGGGACAAGTGTAGTTAGAAGCTGTGACTAGAAGCCAGTTGTCTATGTACAGAAAAATCTTCACAACCCAAGTTCCAAGACTATTGCTACTACACAGTTTCTGCAGCTGAGAGGTTGAACAGGAGAATCTTGTATTGCTACATGTGACATTCCACTGAAAAGCACAAATACATGCGGTGTTGGGGACAGATAGCAATGCAAAAAGATGTGTCCGTTAGATGGATGGCTGCAAAAAAATTGTATGAATCAAGCAACAGTAGTATTCACGGAGGTGTGATAATACAGAATCTCTTGGTGGTGATGTAATGATTGACACCTGGGAGATCAAGTATAGGATGAATACCCCATAATGTTTTCAACTGTGAACTGCTGGGAGAAACACCAAAAGCCTTTGGATCACTGAGGCATGCTCTATCAACTCTTGTAGCAAGATTTTAATTCTTCTCAGAACTGGGGATGGACTCCTATGGGAGGAAATAAATTAAATTCTATAGTATAACCTTTACATATGACAGTGAATATTCAGCTTTCACTGGTGAGGTTGCAGCAGTGTTAAAATGATGCAAGACAAGCCATCACCTTGAAAACACAGTCATCACCATGCCATGCAGCTCTAATTTGCTTAGATGTTAAGGCAATGAACTTCTTGCTGAAATAATAAGACTACATTTTTCTGGTCATCACAGAGTAGAGAATAAAGGATAGTGTTTTCTCCCATGGAAACAGTTGACATGCCAACATGCAAGCCTGGTATTTGTTGACCTGAATTTCCAAGATGGGTAGGGAATAATATCAAGAGACCTAGGATATCCAGAGATGCCTTCTTTATCAAATGTTGTGTGTATTCATCTGAAGGTCGAGAGGTTTCTACACCTATAGAATCTGGAACAGAGTTACTGAGTAAAAATCCTTTCCCTCCTTGCCGGACCTAATACAGACTTGTTAACTAGAAAGAAGTGGGCAGTGCTGATGAATGATTCAACCACAATTGCTTCACTAAATTGAATAAACCTAGTAAAACTGGGCATCACAGTGGGAGGTATGTTTTTAATGTCAACCTATTGGAAAACAGGGCCAAGAACAGAACATAGTTGAACTGTGGTAGGTAGGGATGTTGTAGCTGGAAAAATATTTGAAATGTTGGTAGTTTTCACATATCTATGAGGCCAGGAAGGTTCTCTTCAGGAAAGCATGGATCAGTACATTTTTCAATGCAGCAGGCACACAGTGGGTCATTTACCACTGATTGGGCAAGGGTTGAGCTTATATGTAGGTGTATTGTCCACATCATCAGTTAGTAGTATTTATAATGATTTTAAGAAGTCTGAGTACTTGATACTCAGGACAAATCCTAGGTACTACAGTATAAGGCACTGAATAAATAAAAATGAGTCAGTATGGTGTAGTGGTTTGAGCATTGGACTTCGACTCTGGAGACCAGGGTTTGAATCCCTGATCAGTCATAGAAACCCACTGGATGACCTTGGACAAGCCTCAGAGGAAGGCAAAGGCAACCCCCCCTCTAAACAAATCTTGCCAAGAAAACCATGTGATGATTCACTTAAGGGTCTCCATAAACCAGAAATGACCTGAAGACACAACAAAAGTAACAGCAACAGCAGTAGCAACAGCAAGAAAAAAACCAAACAACTTTCTTCTTGAAGTACTTAGCAGATTTATCACTCCCAGTCATGGAGGGTTCTAATCCTAACCCCTCTGAGTTTGATTTCAACAAGTACTTTACCACATGGAACAATTCTGCTAGATGACAGCTCAAAAATGCATTTGATGGGCCAAAAAAAATTTTTTTTTGGCCTCATTCATGGTTGTATGAATATAAGTATTCTTACTGTAGTTTGGTCACACATGCTTTGGACTTATACTATTTGTGCTCCAGCTGTTATCATACTTTTGCATCATTTACAGTTCTTTTTGTAAACCAGATAGCACAGGTCCAGAATGGATATTTGGAAATGGCTGTGTCAACTGTCCTTCCCATTACACAGTTCCAAAGTTAGACCAACACTTCAACTGAACTGCTAGCCCATCAAGATGAAAAACCTCTCAGGTTCCACCAGTTTCATGAGCTGACCCATCTTAACTGGTCTCCCTTCCCTAGAAAAAGGTTCTGTTACTATTAATTTAGCCTTCATGAGAAAGTGGTTTGCCCATCACTGAAATCCCCTTGCTGGGAAACATCTTTTTGTCCTGGACTTAAAAACAAAACAAAACACCCAAGTCAAAGATATGACCTGCTGCATGACTTGAACAATATATTTTACGAGTATGAGTTTTTAAAGGACTCAAGACAAGTGTCTTCTTTTAATTTTCAAAACGCTATACAGCCTAGCTCCGTCATATCTTTCATCCTTCATTTCTTTTCACCAGTCTCCTCAGAACATATGTTCTAGAAATTTTAGGATTGTCACTCAACTAAAGATTTCCTCTTCCTTAGCTCGGTTTAATCTTTTCCTCTTGCTACTCCTTACTCCTGGAATTGCCTCCCTGAACATCTGTGGACTTATCCTTCACTCATTCCGTTTTAAAATTACAATTAAAAATGCTTTCCAAAGCATTTGGAATTTTAGTTTAATGTTGTTTTATAATTGTGTATTTTGGTTATATGTGTTTGTCAGTTTACTATATATTTATTGCATTAATTTTTGTACCTCTGTCAGAATAATTTGTTTTACATTTGTTTTACACAGTTTTATATTTATATCATTTTGTTGCCTTAGGGGTGTGTGTGTGTGCACATATTAATATATATTAGATTATATGCTGGGTTTTTATAGTGTTCTTTTTAGTGTTCTTTTACTTGTAAATTACCATGCATGTTGATAACGCTATATACATAAATGACAACAACAACAGGCCCACAGTTGTCCCACTGGTCATGAAGTCTTGAGTAGGCCCAACCTGGGTAAACTTAGGGGAGATGCAGACGGGTGGCCCTGGGCCACCCCGGGAAGCAGAGGATTTGGGCTGCTGCTAGCACACACAGCGGCCCCTATTAGAGGCAGCAAAAGGCCACCCCAAGAGCCGCCGTGCAGCTCTTCTCTGCCTCTTCCAATGTAGTACGTGAGGACGCTATGCCGGGAGGACGTCCTGATGCCACATGCCATGTGTAAGGGCACGTGGCATCAGGAAGTCTTCAGGGAGGGGTTGGGGCGACCAGCGTGCGGCTGCCTCCCTGCCTCCAACACACCGCAAAGGGCCCGTCTGCAGAGGCCCTTAGTATGAAAACTTAGTATGAAGTTTTCTAACATTATTCCTCAGACCATTTCCAATGACAGACAATAGGGCAATGGGATTGGCAGAACACAGTAGCTTGCCCACTCTATCGCTTTGATCCAGCATTGGGTTGCTGTTATTGTGTACCTTCAAGTCATTTCTGATTTCTGACTCCCTAAGGTGAAACTATCATGGGGTTTTCTTGGCCAGATTTGTTAGGAGGGGATTTGCCTTTGCCTTCCTCTGAGGCTAAGCATGTCACCTGTGTGACTTGCCCAAGGTCATCCAGTGGGTTGCCATGGCTAAGCAGGGATTTGAACCCTGGTTTCCAAAGTTGTGGTCCCATGCTCAAACCACACCATCACATTAGCTCTCACTAGCCACAGATCCTCAAAACTGGTGCTAGGGTGAGCAGATTAATTTTTACAGAAGATGGAATCCTTACAATAACAGAAACTCGCTCCAGTTCCTCCAAACTGGAATGGTTCTGCTCTGAGTAAGTAGGCAAAGCTGGGTCAGATCCACCCCACTGAACTCTTCCATCCAGTTTTCTGAAATGCATGCATTCACACTTGTCTGTTTCCTGTCTTGAAGGCTTGGTAGCAGCCAAATTAATGTTAGAGAATTAGTATGTTAAGGCAACTCAATTTTGCTGCTACCTGTTTTAGACATAAACACCAAAAAGTTCTGTGCCAATTGTTTAACAATATACTGTATATGCAGAAATATGTACTATGCTGTCTGGACTATTCTCTCTTAAAGGTATGCATTAGTAGTTTTATTGTATGTTTTTATGAAAAATGATAGTGATTTATTGTGAAACACCTACTAAGTATTTATTGAAGGGAATCTGGATATTTTAATATATCAATTAAAATTGATCAACAAAAATATACAAGTAAAGTTTTTACTTTTTAAAAAGTTTTTTTAAAAAAATCCAAATTCTGTTATAAATTAGTGCTATTAGTACAGACTGATAAATTTTTGATTCAAAATACAAGAAGGTATCACTCGTCAACTAGTTTAAATGTGGCAAGCTTTCACAAAGCCTCTTCTTCCATTTAGAGAAGAATAGAACAGACTAAAATGTTTCTTGGAAGATGGAACAATCTCGATTTGAAATATACTCCTACACCTGTAATTAAACTGAAACATAAAAATTAATCTGTAAAAGCTTTCAGTCTTAATTATTGAACTATTCAAGATCAAACACAAAGCGACAGCAATGATGTCTGATATTGACACAGCCTGCTCCCACTTTCATTTTCCCTCCCTCCCTTCCTCTCTCACACACACTGAATGTATAACCTGTGGCCAAGAAGACTTAAGCAGCTGTCGGGGTCCAAAACTGCCTTTGCACATAGTCAATTATCAGTAAAAAGAAGAGGAAAGGTTTGTTGGTGTGAGGGTGGGAGTGAAGCAACCTTCACTATTAAAGCTATCAGGCAGATGGCTCTGGTTCCCTTCCCTTCCTAATAAAACAGCAGTAGCAGCAAAACTTATATGGCTGCCTGAGAACAAGAAAACACACAATTTCCCAAGGAAGCAGATAGGCAAATGCCAAGACAGCTGCTTTGGGCAGATGGATCTTTTGACAGCTCCATAATGCTACCATCAGTGAATTTAAACTCCAGGCAGGGTAGCCAAATCAGGACCATCTGCTTATGGGCACATGCAAAGGCTCCTAGAGCAGCAGGTAACCTATGGAAACTAGCAACAATACCAGCCACCTTTAGATCTTTGGGGCTCATGTAGCTACATGTTACTGCTTTCAGTGCAATTTTTTAACCAGGCAACACTACAATTTGCTGGTACTGCTGATAGTCTATAGTCCTTTATGCAAGATGGGAAAAACAGTATTCCCAGTCTAGTGTCTATACCCTGTTCTGAAATATTTTAACACATAAAGAGGAATGTACTGTACAAGATGGTTCCTTGTGAGAGAACCTGGAGTCCAGAGAAGACAGTGTCACTGATAGCAAGGACCAGGAATATGCCATGAACAACTGAGCATTAAATGTATCATGTTCAATATTCTTTTCCAATCATACAACTTGCATCTTCTCTGGTTTCTTCTATTTAACAGGATTTATTGCTAGCACTATCCACTAAGATGACCATTCCCGTGTATTTCATGGTGCACTTGCAATAAAAGCTCACACTATGAACACTCTGTTAGTTTTCAGTTGCCACAAGCTGCACAACTACCCTTTTGAAATCTGTTTTTGATGCCATCTTTCATGGCACTACTTTATGCATGTTTATTTGGAAGCACATACCACTGGGCTTGGTTAGACTCTCTTTACTGTGCTGAGAATTAAGCAAGCACAGAATTCTTAATATGTCAAGCAGAATTTAAATTCTGGTTGGAATGGGACAGGCAGAGTTTTGATTTTCAAGTCACCAAAATGAACCAGCATTTTTTCATTTAAGAAAGTTTGGCATGCCAGAACTGGGACTAAACATTGGATTTAAGGCTATGCAACAGGCTTCTGTACCAAACTCATCACTAGTGAACCCTGCAGGAATTTAGATAGGTCAGTTCTTTCAAATCTTTTCTCATGCTCTTATCTGTTTGCTCTTTCTCACAGTGGGCTAACTCAGATTAATGTATCCCAGCTTAATAGAGAACTGACATCATGCTCTCACGTCTTTCCTCTCTTCATGCACCAGCTTTGATGCTTATGTGGTAATTAGTTTAAACCATAGTTTCCTGTTACAGCCCCAAAGGGTTTAATTTGTTTGTGAAATATGGTTTAATTCTGGCTTCATGTCTTTGTTAGTAAACTGAGATTACACTAGAATTTTCTGGTTCAGAGTAACAAGCATTATTATATAAACAAAATAAAATAAAAGCAGCAACGCCAATGTAGGAGGAGGAAGGAGGAAATGTATAGCAAAGTGCTTGTTCTCTCCTTTAAAGGCATTCTCTGTTTAATAAACCATGGTTTGCTAACTGAATTTTTTTACAACTGAACACAGAGGGTGCTCTTTTTTGAATAAATTATTTACAGTGGGTTGTATTAAGTTAAGATGTAATGATACTTTGCATCTTTGCTCTCTTGCCCCATCCCAGTCTCTTTGCCTGTATATCTTTTCATGCCCTCTAGGCATCTCTCTCTCTTCTATGACTCATGGTCCCTTTGTCTGTTTCTGACTTCCTGTTTGTCTTCTCTCTTTTTCTGTATCTGTATGAGAAAGAGAGCTGGAGATAGAGTGAGATCTGTAT